TGGAAGCAGTCTTCAGGCATCTTCAGGTTCTCAAGGCAGCCTTGCTGACCATGGTTCCCCAGGAGCTCTGGTTCCCCCAGACTCTCCAGGGCTGCAGGAGCAAGAGAAAGAACCCCATATCAGTCAGCATCTTGTGAATCATCTGTACACCCAGCTCCAGTCCAAGATGCAGACTGGTGAATTCAGCAAAGCTTCAACAGCAGCTCAGAGGCTGCCAAGAAATCTACTGGAAAAGTAAAGGAGGCTAAATCAGCTACACCATTCGATCCTCAGATGATGGTCAAGACGACTCCACAGCCATCTGGGCCCAGCTTTTTGATTGAACATATCTGATACCTGGATACCTCTCTAAAATCAAGCATCCAAAGTTTTTACCTTTATTTTCCTAAAAAATTTTTTCATATTATGTATACCAATCCCAGTTCCAACTCCTCTCCTCCTACTGCCCCCAACTCCATCCACTCCAAGTGTATAAGGCCTGCCTTGGGGATTTGACAAAGCTGGCATCCCAAGTTGAGGAGGGACCAAGCGCCCCTTCTTTGCATCAGGCTGAACAAGGTAACCCACAAGGCATGGGTTCCAGAAAGCCAGTTCATATGCCTGCGATATGTACTGTGGGCACTTCCAGGGCCCCACATAACTAGGCCCTCAGAATGTGTGCCACAGTATGGTCTCATGCAGCCAGCCAGACTGTTTATGCACTTCTTACTGCTCAGTTTAATTTTAAGAATTCTTGGACATGATGGTCCTGACACACACACACACACCCCTCTACCACCAAAAGAACCCAGAAAAATTAGGAAAACTAGAAATTAACTATCGCTGGTCATTTATATCCCTTAATATCAGTGGATTCAACTCAGATTATTTATGTAATTATATATATATATTATTATTTAAAAAAAAACCCACACAGGCTAACAGAATGGATAAAAAACAGGACCCATCCTTCTGCTGCTGCATACAAGAAACACACCTCACCTGTAAAGACAGGTATCACCTCAGAGTTGGGAAAAGATTTTCCAATAAATACACTTAACAGATACCTATAGAACAGTTCCCGCAAACACAAAAGAACATACCTTCAGCAGAGGCAATGATAGATAAGTGGCCTCAGGTCTGGTCAGACCCAACTGCAGCTCCAGGATATCTGCTTTTCAGGTCGTTCTTTTGGGGACTTTACAGATTGTATTTTGCCCGTTTGCTCCTGAACCATATCCGGAAGGATAATGGAAAAAAAAAAAAAAAAAAAGGTCAGAGTAAGACCCTTATGCCCCAGCCTAGACTACAAGATCTAGAAGGTGAATCGGAAGGCTGACCCTACCCCACAAGCCCCTCCTCACAAATAGTACTAGGAATCCTGATGCCAAGAAGGAGAGATGAAGACAGGATGAGTTATGTGCTGACATACCTGGGAATAAGAAAACTTCAGTAGAAAAGTCCAGGGTTTCCCTAGGAGACCTGTTAGCTTTGCTCATGAGATCATGGAGCTGTTGCATAGATCCAGGGCGTACCTGAATTGAATAGAATAGTTCCAGCCCTGGGTGCAAATATATCACAATTCCACAACATTCCTTAGCTGCCCAAAGCGGTGTAGCAGCACCGGGAATTGGGGACTCTGGCTAACTATGTAGGGGCTGGGGAAGGGGAGCTGATGGAAGAGGGGCTATTCTGTGTCAGGAAGGGAGGATCGAGAGTCAGACATTACCTGCTACTTTGGCACCCAAATCCTTTGTGGCACACATGAAGCATTCCCCGTGCTGGCATTTCAGAGCAGCTGGGGAAATTTGCAACCATGGAGAGTCTGAGAGAACCAGAACGTCTGAGGAACCACGGACAGCAGGGCTCTTTTGAGGACCTGAGGATCTGAACACCTGCGTCCGTTTTACTGTTTCCTAGTGATTGGAGACATGGCCACTGTGGGGGACCTGGATCATGCCCAGACTTAACTCCATTGGTGGTCCTGGGTGCATGAGAGGACTCAGGTTCCTTGTAGGACCTGGATACACTTGGAGGCTTGATTGCACTGGTGCTTCTGGGAGTACTAGGGGGTCTGGGTTCCTCGAAGGCTCTTGAGGCTTTTGGAAACCTGGAGCCTAGCAGTGGGAAGGAACCATACTCAGAATTTACAATTGTCTGCCAGGTCCTCTCTGCTTCCCCTGGTACCCTCTGTGTCTAACAAGGGAGTGAGGGCACCCTGGGGCAGGCAACACCAAGTTACCCCACCTCATCCTTACCATCTACGTGGGGGCCTTAGTGGCCAACTCACTCTGGATTTCAGCAGGCTCTCCCAACTTGCCCAATACACTCCTGGTGAGTAAAGCTTTACTTCAAGGGCCTGGCCTTAAAATTCTTCTCCACCCAGGATCCTTCCAGCTCCTTTTTCTTTTGGGGGTTGTTCAAGATGGGGTTTCTCTTTATGTCATCTCTGGCTGTCCTGGAACTTGCTTTGCAGACCGGGTTGTCCTCAAATTCACAGATCACCTGGCCCTGCCTTTGCTCCTCCAGCTTTTATATCCTCTGTGCTGGATAGTTTCATGTCAGGTTGACACAAGGTGAAGGTCATTTTCTTAATTAGTAATTGATGAAAGAGGGCTGAGCCCATTCTGTGTAGTACCACACCTGGACTGGTGGTCCTGTTTTGTGAGAAAGCAAGATGAGCCAGGTGGACGTGGTCTATGCCTTTAATCCTAGCATGCACGAGGTACAATCTCGGAGGTAGTAGGAACTCTGTGAGTTTTAGGACAGCCTGGTCTACAGAGCAAGTTCTAGGATAGCCAGGGCCACATAGACAAACACTGCCTTGAAAAACCAATCCCCACAAAAACCCAAAGAAAGAAAGAAAAAGAAAAAAGCGGCTGAGCAAGCCTTGAGATGAATGTCAATAAGCAGCATCGGCTTGTGGCCTCTATCTCTGCTCCTGCCTCCTGGTTCCTGTCCTGTTTGAATTCCTATCCTGACTTCCTTTGATGGTGAACTGTGATTTGGAAACATAAACCAAATGAATGCCTTTCTTCCCAAAATTGCTTTGGTCATGGTATTTAATCCTTGTAATAGAGACTTTAACTAAGACAAGTTTGTACCAGGATAGTGGGGTGTTGCTCTGACCATGTTTGGGAGAAGACTGTGGGAGGACTTTGGAACTTTGAATTGGAAAAACACGGAGTGTTGAGATCTCTTAAATTTTTTTTTCAGAGTGTGGAGGGTAAGGATGATGAAAGCGATGTATAAGATAGAGGCATGGCTTGTGAAGTTCAAGAGGTGCTATTCCAGCCATTTGTTATTTGAAATTAAGATACTGTGGTTCTGATTAGAGTAGCCTGAAAAATCAATTGTGATTAACAAGATACCAGACCACTAACGTGAAACATTTGCTTTGCTGGATACACGATGCTGATCAGCTGCATCTGAGAAATTAGCCGTGATGGAGAAAAGACCAGCATCATTGAGGTGAAAGTTTCTAGAAACTTTCCTAAGAGTCAGAACACAGAAGCTGTGTTCCAGCATGGTCAAGTTACACCTCATGCTGTCAGCTGAGTTTGATAACACAAGAGTCACGCAGGTGGTGGTGTTTGAAGGTGTGTAGGGGCCAGGGAAAGCAGTTGAGCCTTGGCTCTGTGTGGCAAGTGGGGAGGCCCTGGAACTAGCCCAGAAGAGGCTATTTTGAATGTGCAGCCCAGTTGCGTGCAGTATAAGATTCCGGGATTTTGGAGATGCCAGTACCATGGCATGATTACTTTGAACAACTGCACCAGAGGAGAGGAGACAGCCAGCATCTGGAAGACAAGCTGTGTGTGCTTCAGGGGTGGGAGTGGGGGTGAGATGGAGAAATGACCAAAGCCAGGAGCACAGAAGCCATAAGCAGATCACAGAATCGAACATTGCATTTGTCTTTCATTGACTTTCCCCCCATTTACTAGGCATTGTTTATCTTCTCATATAATCTGAATAAAGGTTTTGGCCTCTCCTCTCCTCCCCCTCTCCCCACCCTTCCATCCAGATCCTGGCCATTTTTTGTCTCCCGTAGTAAAGAATAGACTTTTAAGAAACAAAAACAAAACATCATAAAATAAAATATATTAAGGTAAAACAAAACCCATGATATCAGATTTGGACAAGAGAAGCCAACGGTACAATACAAGATATCCAAGAGCAGGTACAAGATTCATTCGCATTCTCAAAAATCCTGTAAAGTACTAAAGTGAGAGCAATAGTGGGTATGCAGAGGACCTGGTCCAGTCCCCTGTGGGCACTGTGATTGCTGCTTCAGCGTCTGATTTCCAGTGAGCTTTGCTCAGATATTTTAGAGGTCCCCTTTCTCCTGGTGTTCCCCAACCCCTCTGTCTCCATTACTCCTCTGACTCCTCCTACAAGGAGTTTTCTGAGCTCTGAGAGGAGATATTTGATAGAGACGTCTCGTTTACTGCTGCATGTTCCATCTCTCTCTCTCTCTCTCTCTCTGGACATAATGTATATCTGTGGCTGTCTGAATTTGTTTCCATCTGCTGCAGCAGTAAGACACTCTAATGATGGCTGAGTAAGGCCATCTGTAAGTACAGCAGAGATTCATTAGGAGTCATTTTATTGTTAATTTCCACTGCACACCCCTCAAACCCAACTGAATCCTTCTCACCCCTCCTTTCCACCCTCCACCCATTCCCTCCTCATGTTTTCCCTTTGTCCTCTCGTTCCTGCCCCTCTCCTACACTGCATACATTCCACTCATAAAATTTCCACCCTACCCACAGGGAATGTCCATGTGTCACCCCAATCACTTCCTGAATGCCTGTTGTCTTTGGCTCTGTGGATTGTAATTTTTTTTAACGTCTCTTTAAAGGAAAATACCCAGATATAAGTGAATACAGACCACGTTAATCTTTCAGTGTCTTGGTTATCAAACTTGTGATGATTTTTCTAGTTCCAGTCATTTGCCTGCAAATTTTATGATCTTACTTTTTTCCAGATGAGTAATACTCCACTGTACAAATTTACTGTTAATCTCACCTAAAGAGAGTAAAGATAATCACTCAAATTTTTAGGTCAAGTTAAGAAAGCTTTATTTTCTGTCAGACAGTACTATCTCCCTAAAATAGCATTAAACACAGGAAATGGTAAGTTCTATATAGTCAAAAAACCCTGCAAGACTGGGAACTTTCAAGGGTTGTGGGATTTACAGAGGAATTTTGGTTACATAAAAATTTGGATCCTGGCAGTAGTGGTACACACCTTTAATCCCAATACTTGTGAGGCAAATGCAGGCGAATCTCTGTGAGTTTGAGGCCAGCCTGGTCTACAGGACAGCCAGAGCTATTGTACAGAGAAGCCCTGTGTTGAAAAAAAAAAACAAAAAATGTGGCTGAATATTTTTAAATTAGTTGGGAACATGTCCAGGAGTGGCATAGCTGTATCTTGAGGTAGATAGATTCCCATATTTCTGAGGAAAAGCCATGTTGATTTCCAAAATGGCAGTCCTCAACCTCGTACAGATTATCTTGTCTTCCCCTCCTGAGGTGTGAGTAACCATGACCCAGAAATGTTTAATCATTGTTTTCCAAATGATTATGGAGTGACAAGATTGTGTGGGAAATAAAAACTAAGAGAGTAATGACCCTGCTCTCTTGGTGCTAAAGTGTAGAAGAAATTCTGGCTTCATATGCTGCAAAATTTGTCAATCTTAATGATTTATTGCCAGTTTATTGAAAGGTTATGGAACATAGGACCATTTATTGCTACAATTTGCCAGGTTGGGACAACAGGCCTGTTTGTTCTTGGAGGTGTACAAAAGAGGGTCAAGAATTGAAGGCCAGCCTAGATTAACTACATGGCTGCTCTAAATCCTGCATTGGCTCCAGAAGACCCTGCCACAAAATGAAAAGTAGCATCAAGCAACAACAGACAAAATCTCTCCAAGAGTTCCTAAGGATTTAAAGGAGGAGAATAATTATACACTCTTAATGTTACCAAAGGCTACATAAGAGTGGAACCTTCAGACACAGACCTATAGTCCCAGCTACTTGGTAAGCTGTAGCAGGACAACTGCTAGTTCAAGGACAGCCTGGGATACAGAGTTAATTTGGGTCAAACAGGGATATATGACCAGACTTTTTCATTCTAAAATCAGAGGATGAACACTAGAAATGTACCTCAGCCCCCAGACTGATAGCTGGGAAACCAGCATTGGATTGACTCAGACCTCCTGAACATGGGTCTCAGTTAGAAGGTGTTGGCAGTTTAAGGGACCTATAACAATGGAACCAGGATGTATCCCTGGTGCATGAAAGGACTTTGGGAGCACATTCACGATGGAGGGATAGGAGTCAGGAGTGAGGCCCTAGTCACTACTCCAAATGACTTGACAGATTTTGTTGACCCCTCCTGGAAGCCAGCAACCTCCCTGTGGAGTGGGGGGAATGGGATGGGAGTGTGGTTGGGGGCATGGGAGGGAGGGAGGGAGAGGGAACTGGGATCGATATGTAAAATAAGAAAAAATAAATAAAAAAAGAAGGATCAAGGCTCTAATGGTGGCAGGATGGTTCATGGTGTGGAGAGGCTGCCACCAGATTTCTGGGGCTTTGTAGGGTGGGTGTGGGAAGGACAATGTGCTCTGGCTGAATAGAGCCCACAGGGTAGGGTCCTCCAGCTAGAGAACCAGGCACTCACCTGTCCCCGTGTGGGAGGGGCCAAAGTTCCAATGATGGCAGATGCAGTGTTGAAGGGTTTGAGGTATGGGGTGGTGTCCCATGATTTTTGGATTTAGAGGGCAGGTGTGGGCACATGTTGTGCCTGAGATTATTAGGGCCTAGGGGTTAGGGGTTCCAGCCTGGGACCCAGGCACTCACATCTCCAGGTGGGGGTGGGGCCAAGGTTCCAATTCAGAAAATATTTTCTGCTTTTATATAACATATAGGAAAATACTTAACATCTTAATTTGTTTTAAAACAATCTCATTAAATGGAACATGTCTGAGACTAATACAGATTTGCCTGCATCAGTCTCCAATATCCTCAGGTTAATTGCATGAAACACCTTCCTGTAAAGATTCTGTAGTCTGTATTGGTGGAGGGTGAGAGGTATTGTCGAGGCAGTGTGTAACTCTAAGTCAATGAGTCCTCCCATTTATCCAGATCCTCTTGTATCCATTGCCATAGCTGCTCAGAAGGTGGATGTAGGTACTGAGCAACATCTGGCACTTGGGCTACATCTGTGGTGGGAATTGGAGCTTCCCCTGGGACCGGACCTTGAGCTACTGCTGAATCAGTCTGGGATTCAGCTACTCTGGGTTGATATGATTCAGAAGCTACAGCAGGGGCTTGACCATCAAGTAGGTCTTTGTGGGGACAACACCCAGCATCCTCTATGTCTTGATTATCATGGAGAGAAGCCTGCAGGCTGGAGTTGAGATTTGGAATCCTTCCCACAATGGATCTGCTGGGAGACACAGACTCTATATTGCCTGAAGGAAGAATAGACGTGAGAACTTCGGAATCAATTGGAGCAGAACTACTCCTAGAGCATTCACATGACTCTGGAAGTCTTGCTTTATCATTCTTGGGATTTTTCTGTCTGTACTTAGCACGTTGGTTCTTGAACCAGATCTGAAAAGAATAAAAAAAAGATGTCAGAGGAAGACCTGTGTTCCCAGGTGTACATGCTCCAGCAACTACCTGTATAAAATTAAATGTCCTGGGCTCTAAAAGGAAGAAGGTAGGATAGTTTATGATGTGACACAAAATGCCTAGGGAAGCTTCAGACACAATTTTATAAGGGTCCCTAGTATGTGGGTCCCTGTGAACTTGCCAAGGTGATAATAGGGCTCCATAATAGTGCCCAGATTGAAGAAGAATAACCAGATACAGCCATGGTTGTACATAGGACCACCTTCCACAATTGTCCCAAGTGAGACATCACCAAGTATGTGAAGTTTAGATTTTAGCTTTGAAGAAAAAGGAACAAGAGTGAGACATACCCGGATCTCATACTCCGTCACACCAATCACTAATGCCAGCTTCATTCGTTGCTCCAAGTTTGGGTAATTACAATGGTCAAAATGCCCTTGGAGGACGAGTTTTTGTTCTTTGGAGTACACAGTGCGCTCCTTCCTTTCCTTCCTTGGAGCTTCAGGGCTAACTTGTTTGGCACGATGTTTATCAGAGGGAAGCATAGAGCCTAGAGAACCCTCACAACCATAACTAATTGAGCTTAGGGCCATTTGATGATTATGGGGCTCTGATCCAGTTCCCGGTGTAGGGTGACCAGTATTCACTGGAAGACTTCGTTCTGGTGATGGTCCTAGGGTCCCTTTGGCACACTGACTCCTTTCAAGGTCTGAGTGCAATTGGAGACTTTCATGCTGTGGTGTTGCTGGAGGAAGTAGGAGACTTTTAGTCCTTTGAAGACTCAATTTGCTTACAGAATATTGATGCTTTTGTAGCTCAGGACTCTCACACAAGGTATCTTCACTGCCACAGGAGACAAGAGGGACACTACCTTCAGCCAGTTGTGAGATCTACAGCCAAAGTTCCCAGGAAGTTCTCCAGTCTCGTTCTGATTGTTCCTAGCTCCTCTGCTTTTGAACCAGATCTGGAAAGACAAAGAGGGGAGATCAGGAGTTGCCAAATGCCATATTTAAGTACCAAATGTGAAGATGCTGGATGAAAAGCCTGGATTATGGTCTATACCTAGCACCTATCACAGATCTGTAAACATTCTAGACCGAAGAATGAGGAAGACTGGATGATCTGGACATGAAACAAAGAAAATATGGGAGCTCTTACTGGATGCTGGGAATTTAGAAGGGATGCAGATGTCTGGGCAGGTAGGGGCACCATTATCCATCAGCATTGCACCAGAATTCTACACAAAATGGCCAATGGACATTCATTTCCAACCTTAGATCCATCATCATTATGCTTCTAATGGGCCAATACTGGAGGGATTTGAGCTTCCGTGGAAAGGCTACCATAAATGCCCTTCCCGGAGAGTGAGATCAACAACTAACTTCTCCATGGAGCCCTCAACTAATGCCTGTTGGAAACAGGAGCAAACACCCATACATAAACACTGAGTCGAAGTAGAACCCAGATGTAGATGGAGAGGACAAGACCAGGCGGCAGAAGCAGAAACACATAGAGACAGCTTACCTGAACAAGGAGGAGCTAACAGACCACCAGACTGATAGCTGGGAAGCCAGCATGGGACTGATTCAGGCCCCCCTGAATATGGGTCTCAGCCAGAAGGACTGAGCAGTCTAAGGGACCTCAGACAGTGGAGCCAGGATGTATCCCTGGTGCACAAAAGGACTTTGCGAACACATCCCCCCTGGAGGGATAACTGCCTTAACCCAGCCACAGGAGAGAAGCCCTAGTCCCTACTTCACATGACCTGTCAGATCTACATGACCCCAACTGGATGGCATTCCCCTACATATGGAATTGGGGTGGGGGGATAGGAGGGTGGCGAGGGTGCATGTGAGAGGGCAGAGAGGGTAAAAGGGAGGGAGGGAGAAGGAACTGGGATCGACATGTAAAATAATAAATTAAATTAAAAAAAAATGCTTCGACTCCAAAATTTAAGTTCAAGGACAAGTTACTTGGGAAAAGGATTTCTATTTTTGTTTCCACAGAAAATGAAAAGCTGTAGATTCCTTCTAGACTAATGTGATCAAGCCAGACTGCCTGAAACAGAGTACCAGGTGATTCTACATTCAAAAAAGCTGGACAAAGCAGCCTTGCAGACTACAGCCAGGATTTCTGAATCTTCTTTGAATCCCCCATGATAGCACCCCTTACCAGCAGGAAGTAGTTTGGAAAGAACGACGCCCAAATTCCCAAATATTGTCTATAAATGTTTGTTTTCATTTAAATGGACTTGGTTATATAAAATAAAATAAAAGAACCTAAAAAAAAAAAAAAAAAAAAGAAATGGGTTAAAATGCTCTGCTGCCAGCCCTTGGCTAGAGGTGAGTCTGGGCCCAATTCGGGCAGACGCTCCCCTATACCCTCCCCCAGGAACTCCCTGGTTTGGCCCCGGATCTCCTGCTCCTGTGTCCTGTCCCCATTGAGAGCGCTCTTAGAGCTCTGACACACCCCCAACTACCCCCACCAAGAGCCTGCCCTCCCCCTACCCTGTGCCCTACCCTGTCCACTGTCCCACTGCTCTGGTTGAGCACTGGGACAGAGGGTGGAGCCAACAGTCCATACAACTTCAGGGAGCTTTTCCGAGCGGCACAGGAGACCTGCCTATCCATGCAGGACCACCCGTAATTTCCACCTGCTTGGTCTCTGACCCCCACTGCCAGTCCTCTACTGGAGTCCCGGGCCCCTCCCAGAGATCTGCCTATCTTTGCAGGACCACTCTGAGTTCCTGCCAGCAGGATCCTTGACCCCCATAGCAGGGCTAAAGAAGCCTCAGCTGGAGAGTACCAGGCCCAAGCTAGATCTGCCTATAGGCACAAGGAACATCCAGAGTACTGGCATTTGGGATCTTTGACCCCCATGACCAGTCTTCTACTGTAGCCTGATCGCTGACCCAATTCCTGGACCCCTGCCTGTGGAGAGATCTCCTAGAGAGCTTGAACCAACCAGAGCTACAGATATCGAACCTCTGACTCACATAAGCCCACCTGGGAAGTACCATAGAGAGAGGGAGAGACCCCACCAACACCTACTGGAAGAAGCTATGGGAAGAAGGCAATACAAGAAAACACCTAACAACAGAAAGACAAGCATGACACCACCAGAATCTAGGGAATCTACACCAACCGGAACACAACAACAAAGAAGATGAAGCAGAAGGGAACGACTTAAAAATTACCATCATAAAAATGATACAGGCCCACAAAGAAAATGTGAGAAAATCCCTTGAAGAAATGGAAGAAAAACAAAAAAGTGGAAGAAATGAACAAATTTCTTAAGGAAAGTAAAGAAAGTATAGAAAGCTACGAAAAACAATTAAGCAGGTGAAGGAAACGGTTCAAGACTTGAAAACTGAAATTGAGAAAATAAAGGCAACACAAACCGAAGGAATGCTGGAAATAGAAAAATTTGGCAAAAGATTGGGAACTACAGACACAAGCATAACCAACAGAGAAAACTCTCAGGCATGGAAGATAAACTAGAGGAAATAGATTCATTGACCAAAGAAAATCATAAATCTAACAAATCCTTAACACAAAACATCCAGGAAATGTGGGACACCGTGAAAAGGCCAAACCTAAGAATAATAGGCATAGAGGAAGGTGAGGAAGCCCAGCTCAAAGATGCTGAAAACATATTCAACAAAATCATTGGGGAAAACTTTCCTATTCTGAAGAAGGACTTGCCCATGAAAGTACAAGAAGCATACTGAACACCAAATAGGCTGGACCAAAGAAATAAACCCTCAACATATAATAATCGAAATACCCAGCATACAGAATAAAGAAAGAATATTAAGAGCAGTGAAGGAAAAAGGACAGGTAACATATAAAGGCAGACCTATCAAAATTACACCTGACTTCTCCATGGAAACCTGTATTCCACAAAAATTGAAAATTCAAAGGAAATGGACAAATTTCTGGATAACTATCACTAACCAAAATTAAATCAAGAACAGACAAACAACTTAAATAGACCTATAACCTGCAATGAAATAGAAGCAGTCATTGAAAGCCTTCCAACCAAAAACCCCAAGGCCAGATGGCTTCAGCGCACAATTCTACCAGACATTCAAGGAAGAACTAATACCAATATTCCTCAAATTGTTCCACACAATAGAAACAGAAGGTTCATTGCCAAACTCTTTTTACGAGGCCATGATAACCTTGGTACGAAAGCCTCACAAAGACACAACTAAGAAAGAAAACTACAGACCAATATCCCTGATGAACATCGATGCAAAAATACTCAATAAAATACTGGCAAACCGAATTCAAGAATACATCAGAGAACTCATCCACCATGACCAAGTAGGCTTCATACCTGGAATGCAGGGATGGTTTAACATATGAAAATCTATCAACGTGATCCACCATATAAACAAACTGAAAAAGAAAAACCACATGATCATCTCCCTAGATGCTGAAAAACCTTGGACAAAATTCAACACCCTTTCATGATAAAGGTCTTGGAGTGATCAGGGATAACAGGAACATACCTAAACATAATAAGAGCAATATACAGCAAACCAACTGCCAACATCAAACTGAATGGAGAGAAGCTTAAGGCGATTCCTCTAAAATCAGAAACAAGACATGGTTGCCCTCTCTCTCCATATCTCTTCAATATTGTTCTTGAAGTTCTAGCTAAAGCAATAAGACAACAAGAGGAGATCAAGGGGTTCCAAATTGGAAAGGAAGAAGTCTATTTGCAGATGATATGATAGTTTACATAAGAGAACCAAAAAACACTACCAGGGAACTCCTACAGCTGATAAACACCTTCAGCAAACTAGCAGGATACAAGATAAACTAAAAAAAAAATAAAATCAGTAGCCCTGCTTTTTTCAGATGACAAAGAGGCAGAGAAAGAAATCAGAGAAACATCACCCTTTACAATAGCTACAAGCGACATAAAGTTTCTCGGGGTAATGCTTACCAAACAAGTGAAAGACCTACATAATAAGAACTTTGTGGCTCTAAAGACAGAAACTAAAGAAGATACCAGAAATAGGAAAGATCTCCCATGCTGTTGGATAGGTAGGATAAACAGTAAAAATGGCAATCTTGCCAAAAGCATTGTACAGATTTAATGCCATCCCCATTAAAATCCCACCACAATTCTTCACTGACCTTGAAAGGATAATAATCAACTTTATATGGAAAAACAAAAGCCAAAACAGCCCTATACAATAAAAGAACTTCAGGAGGCATCACCATTCCTGACTTTAACCTCTACTACAGAGGTATAGTTCTAAAAACAGCCTGGTATTGGCACAAAAATAGACAGGTAGACCAATGGAATCGAATTGAAAATCCTGATAGTAACCCACTCACCTATCAACCCCTGATTTTCATCAAAACAGCTAAAAGAATACAATGGAGCGAGGACAGCATCTTCAACAAATGGTGCTGGCACAATTGGATGAGGGTGTGTAGAAGACTGCAGATAAACCCATGTCTGTCGCCATGCACAAAACTCAAGTCCAAATGGATCAAATCCAGCCACACTGAACCTCTTAGAAGAG